ACTGAGCCGGCGTTCCCACAATGCTATGCAGGCGCCTAGGTTTTTTGTTTACGGCGCACACCCACGGCGCAGACCCATTCTCTCATATGTAGGCCTATGAGCGCTTTCGCGCTAAATTTGATGGCGCTAGAATTTTGGCGTAGATCTACGGTTTGGACACTCACCGACCAGCCGTAGATCTACGGGACGGACCCTGAAAGGGTTAAAAAAAAAAAAAAAAAAAAAAAAAAAAAATCCCATGTGGAGATATTTTCAGCTTTGAGAGTAAAAGTACATATATTAAAATAGTCCTCCAAGGTTAAAGATACAAAATAATTTATGCATTCAGTATATCTTTTATTTCTTATGACAATGAGCTCACCAATATTCTTACACAATAAATATTTATCAATACATCATGAAATTTTACTTTACCTCCATTTATTGCATAACAACTGATGAGCTAAATTAAAAAAACAATCAAACTTGACACATTAAATTTTGCTATACATCAACTTCATATAAATGATGATAACCTAACTATCTGGATAATTTATAAAAGCCAATATGATAAAGTTCGAATTACAATACAAGAATAAATACTGTATATAATTATCTTTAAAGCTAATCAGGATGAAATCTTTAATAAGTGATACTGTTTTTTGTCAACAACAAAGTGAATGACTGGCTCTTTGCAGCACATCAAGTACTAGCATAAACTGTAAACAAAGCCAATTATTTATTATCAGCATGTTGCTGAAGTCAAGATTATAAGTGTTATAACTAGTACTGAGTACTTCATAAGCTGGCACGGGTCCATTTTATGAGTATTTAGTTAAAATAATTGGAAGATAAAGAAATACGGTACATATAATGTACAATATAGTTTAAAGCTTATATAATGTCTCTGTACAAATTACATTTTAGTGGAATTTCCTACATCAAATGTATTCTCTTGCTACAACTTTCGTTTCTCTGCCATTTTTGCTGCTGCTTTCTTTTTCATTAAGTGCATTCTCCTTTCAGCTGAAATCATTGAATTAGATGGTGCAGATGATTTTCCCGATGATGACGACGATGATGATGATAGTGATGATTTGTTGCTACCATTATTATTGCCACCACTGTTATTGGAGCCTGAAAATTTTAACAGCATTTGATAAAATTAATGTAAAGCACTGTAGCTTTACAAACAAGACAAGATAAGGCAATTTCTCTTTACTGTCTGCCTTGATGAAACTTGCATCTTTCTCTAGTTATTATATGTATGGACAAGCTCTAAACCCATAGGCATCAGAGACTGGGGAACTTGGTGACAATTAGGTTTGATCCAAGAAAGAGCAATTTAAGCTTAAACCTTATATCTGCTTGTTCATACATTTTCAGTAGATTGGTCATTCACATTGTTTCCCTATTACAAAACTTATGAAGCTTTAATTTTATGCATAGCTCACCAGTGAGACAACTTTCTTTGTGCAAGTAATAAAAGCAATAGTTTATTACTGTATAGTGAAAAATGGTTATCAAATACAGTGGAACCTCGGTTTTGTATGCCTTAGTTTGTAAAACTAGTTATTCTCTGTAAAATGTATTTTTTGTTAATATTTTTGGGTGTCTGGAATGGAATAATTGGATTTATATTATTTCTTATGGGAAATATTGCTTCTGTTTTTGTACGATTTGGTTTATTGTCAGACTTTTTTGAACCGATTAATCATGAAAACCGAGGTTCCACTATACTGTCAAATATTTAAATAAGACATGTTTTGCCAAAGTGTCCTTACTTTTTTCACATGTATAGATTTTCTCTAGTTTTAAGTAAATAAATAAATACTTTCTTTGCACATTATATACAGATTTCACAAAACTGGATAACATTTATTAGTATGTATACAGTAGGGCCCCACTTTATGGCATTTTGCCTACGGTGTTCTGTTAATACGGTGATTTCAAATTATGACCAAAACTTGCTATATGGCGAGCGGTCTTTCAAATACGGCACGCCCCACCCGGTTTGTTTACATTCTCCATGAGCACATCTCTCTACTATGTCTGGAAATTTTCCAAAACTTCAAGTGTTTTAAAGTTATTGCGTATTGTATACAGTGGTACCCCGAGTTTCAAACTGCTCCCAACTCGACCAATTATGTAAGTGTATTATTGTAAATGTATTTTTGGGGGTCTGAAATGGACTAATCTAATTTACATTATTCCTTATGGGAACAAATTTGCTCGGTAATGGCACTTGAACAGCCTTCTGGAACGAAGAAAGTTTGAAACTCGGGGTACCACTGTACAGTGGACCCCCGGTTAACGATTTTAATCCGTGCAAGAGGGGTAATTGTTATGCGAAATAATCGTTATGTGAATGAATTTTCCCCATAAGAAATAATGGAAATAAAATTAATCCGTGCAAGACACCCAAAAGTATGAAAAAAAAAAATTTTACTACATGAAATATACATTTTCCCACACACAAAGAGAAGGATACATGCACAATAGTAGAGTAGTACATGCACAGTATATATTGTGCATGTACTAGTCTACTAAATGAAGAATAAATGACACTTACCTTTATTGAAGATGCAGCAATGACTGATGAGACACTGTGTCCTGGGAGTGCCTTTTCCTCCTGAGTACTGTAGGTCCTGTTTGGCATTTTCTTCCAGAACAGGCCTTATCACACTGTGTATGCCACTACGATTCTTAAATCTCTCAAACCAACCTTTGCTGGCTTTAAATTCACCAATATGAGCACTAGTTCCAGGCATTTTTCCCTGTTCACCTGGGTGTTAGTCGACTTGTGTGGGTTGCATCCTGGGAGACAAGATTAAGGACCCCAATGGAAATAAGTTAGACAGTCTTCGATGACACTGACTTTTTTGGGTTATCCTGGGTGGCAAATCCTCTGGGGTTAATTGTTTCTTGGTATTCTCAATAAGCCACACCAACAACGGTGCTACAGCAGCAGCAGCAGCTGACAGTGCAGCAGCAGCAGCAGCTGACAGTGCAGCAGCAGCAGCAGCTGTACCACCAATAGTAGCGATGGTTGATTGGGGTTTATTATACAACCTGGCCAGCTCGGAGACATGCACTCCACTTTCATACTTATCAATGATCTTTTTCTTCATCTCTATTGTAATTCTCACCCTTATTGCTGTAGGGTTGGCACTAGAAGCTTTCTTGGGGCCCATGGTCACTTATTTTCCAGAAAAAGCACCGAAAACACTGTAATAATACGAAATATTCCGATTGTATGCTTGGATGTTACCGCGGAGGCTGGCTGGTAAACAATGCCACCGGCGGAACATGTGAGCGTGGCTCAGGCCGCACATTGGACGCGTCTCGGACGAAAATCGGTAAGCGGGTTTTTAAGCGGTATGTGAGGCAAAATTTTTGCGATTAAAGTAAGCGGTATGCGAAATAATCGCTATGTGATGCCATCGTTATGCGGGGGTCCACTGTACTCTGATCATTATAATTGTGTACCTGTACCTAAATATACGTACTTACACACTGTGCTGGCATGCAGGTACACATCAAACCAGTATGCAAACCTAATGTATATTAAGAGTTGATTTCCTCTATTCTGTTTATTACAGTATGCAGTACACTACTGTATAAACATTTAAAAATATACTAGAAATGTTATGAATGGTGCAAACGTAACATTAAAAAAATATGTAAAGATGGTTGACACAAACCCACTACAAGCATTGTATGCTCCTCATCTAACGACTAATTCGCTTACTGACCTAGACCTACTCTTAGGAACGAAACCCCATCGTTAAGTGAGAAGAGGCTGTACAACAGCTAACAAGGAAATTCTCACATATTATCTAAGCAGCAGCTTCCAAATAGGGATTACAAGAAAATTTGCTTTGTCCCCTTACGAAAAAAAAAAATTATAAGCCATTTTTTACTTATTTTACATATAAACTAATAACCTAACTTTCCTAAAATGTTTATAATATATAATATTTTACTTTACTAAACATAGAAATTTGTATAACCATATTTTAATATTTGCCTTAGGAAAAGGGGAAAGGCAAATCTCAGAAAATAACAATGGGAATGATAATAAAATTATCTTTGTAATTCATTAATGGAAGACTTTTTTTAAGTCATCTTACCTCCTAAGTTTCTTCCTGAAGCAGAAGAAAGGTTAGCAAAGGGTGATAGACGAGAAAGACTACTAAGACCCTTAGTAGGGGGCGAGGTTGTGGGACGAGAATGTGACCCTCCAGACTTCCCCCCACTTGACATGCTGGGTATTCCTCCACCTCCAACTCCTCGAGTGCCACTCAAGCTGCTACTTCCAGATGTGTTAACCATAGCAGTCTGTGGTGTAAAATAATATGACAAAATAAAAATTACTAGTATGTATATGTAGTTTGAACACAAGAAGAAAGCAATTTCTTAAATGAATGATACAGTCAACTTTTAATTTTCTTCACTAAATCACAAACCCATTAGCTGCAGTTACCAAAACAAAATATAATCTAGCTCTTTTCATTACATGTTTACTTCTTGCTTTCCTATGTGTTATACTTTCAGAAACTCGCCCTCTTTCACACAAAATTATTATGCAATTAATAAAACTTTTGAACTACAGTGGAACCCCGAATATCATCCACTGCGTTTATCAGCCGATTCGTATTTAGGCTGGTTTTTGGGTGGAAATTTTGCTCCTTATTATATGCGTCAGCCCACCTCACGTAGGTGAGTCAGTCTCCCTGTGTCTCTTGGTGAATGAGCATATACTCTGTGCATTCATCCAAACATTTTCTTAAAATACATTGAGTTTTGTGCTTGTTTATTAAGTGCGACTGTGAAATAAACCACCATGGGCCCAAAGAAACTTTCTAGTGTCAACCCTTTTGTAAAGAGAGAAATACGAGAGAACTGAAGAAAGAAATTGTAGCAAAGTATGAAAGTGGAGGAGGAAGAGAGAGGGGAGAATGTGCCTTCTTCAGTGATTCAGTGATTCTGCGGTATGTACAATACTAAAGCAGCAGAAGTCGATAAAGGCTACAGCGCCAGCCAGCGATAAAGTGTAGCATTAACAGTGTAGCAATAAGTTAAGAGATTAAGTGATAAAAAAGGACATGACACTAACTCCTCCAATGTTATTAAGGCCACTGACAACACTACCGTCGCCACCAACACCATATGTAAGGCTTGTGCTGTCAGTGGCCCTTATAAACCAAACACCACCACCACTCCACATATATAATGACATATTTTATTCATTCTAGAGTATATATCATGTTTCTATGTTATTAATATTATTTATTATGTCATATTAGATCAATTGTGATAGATAAATAAGCCACAGAGTTGATATTAGTGTCATATTGAAGGAGTATCTTGTCTTGCCTCCAAACACTCTCTCCTCCTCCCTGTCTTCCACAAGCCAACAAGAGTCTTCAATAAAGGTATGTAATGTTTGTCTTTCTTTATATTTATTTCTCATTGTTTTCTGTATGTAAAACTACAGTTAGTCTTTAAAAATTGTATTTTTTTGTTAATATTTTTGGGTGTCTGGAACAGATTAACTGTATTTACATTAATTCTTATGGGAAATACTGCTTCAAATTTAGGCCGACCTTCTGGAACGGATTACAGCAGATATTGGGTTCCACTGTACATTGTGATAATCTTTCACCAATACTGAATTCTTCTTGTTCACCTTTTAGTAAGTGAAAAATGTAAGAGTATGTACTGTGCTACACTATTTAATGTTTAATCAAGGTCTTACTGAAACTTGAAGATAGAGCTTGTGTGACCTATAATTACATGACTTTTGGACACTTCCAGGTTGTTTGCAAACCATCTACAGTACATCTCTCACATCTCTGAATCTTCAATATGTAGGTGTTAAAACGACTCATTCTAGACATTTTTTAACATGGTAAGTAAACACATCCTCACACTGAGCATACTGCTAGTCTTGAATCCACACATAATAAATATTTGGCTATGTGCCACACATGTGCAGGCAACAGTTATTAACCCTTTGACTGTTTCGGTCATATATATACGTCTTACGAGCCAATGTGTTTGACGTATATATACTCAAAAATTCTAGCGACTTCAAATCAAGCGGGAGAAAGCTGGTAGGCCCACATGTGAGAGAATGAGTCTGTGTAGTCAGTGTGCACAGTATAAAAAAAAATCCTGCAGCAAGCAGTGCATAATGAGAAAAAAAAAAACTGACTGTGTTTTTGGATTAAAACGCCAACTTTGAGGAGTATTTTCGTGTAGTTTTTATGGTTGTATTCTCGTTTTCGTAGCCACATTTGATAGAATGAAAAACATATTATAGAAATGGAGGTGATTTTGATTGGTTTTACTATGAAAAGGACCTTGAAATGGAGCTCAAAGTAGGGAAAATGTTTGATTTTTGCAGATGTTCAAGAGTAAACAAATGACGTCATTGTCAATTAAATGTCCAACTAGCCATTCTAATATGCAGTCATGAATGGGTTGACATTATTTATACAATTATTACAATATTGCAGGAGTCTGCATAACACTAAATCTTCTACTGTTTGTTTGAATAAAAATTCAAAATAGAAAGCAATAGTAATATCAGAGGAGCCTGGAGATGTGACTGATGAACAAAGAAAATGTTATTTTAGAGTCAGGAATGTCTGCATTGTTCATTCTGGACCCTATTTTGAAATTGGCATATTTTTTAATTTGCATGAAATTAGCCAAATTGCCAATTTCTGACCACTTTATTGGGTAGTTGAAATTGGTAAATGGGCAGTTTCTTGTACTCAATCGATAGAACAAATCGAGGTCTAAAGAAATAGCTATGAGTTTGGTCGACTGGAACAATGAAATTAGCTGAAAAAAGGGCTCAAAGTGGTCGAAATCTCCGATTCGTAAATATCACCGAGGTCGCTAACTTCGCGAGAGCGTAATTCCGTAAGTTTTCCATCAAATTTCATACTTTTGGTGTCATTACCACTGGGAAAAGATTCTCTATCATTTCATAAGAATTTTTTTTTTTTTTCAAACATTTTGCGACACCAGGAGACACCTCAGGATTTGAGGTTGTGATAGTCAAAGGGTTAAAACTATCTTTGTTAAGTATGTAAATAGCTATAGATAAATACATCTGAACTACTTTACAAAGGGTTTATTTCAAAACTGAATATAGATGGCTTTAATATTGTTATTTTGCTTATTAAAACTTTTATATGATAGAATTTACAAGTATGCTGTGTTTAGGACATAAAAGGCCTTGATGTTAGTGATTTCCCATGATGCAATATACATACCTTAAAATACAGTACAAAAATCCCATGGCTGCTACAAGGTACTGTTTGCAATTATGCTACCATTAATTCCAAGAAACCTTAAAAAATCTCACCTTGTGCATGAACTAACTATGCCTCATTTATATATATAACATTCCTAACCTACACTGTTATTAAAAGATCTAAATTTTCTAGCCAGATATTCCAGTCAAACTTTTACCAGGAACTCACCTTGTACAGCATATAAAAAACTCAGTTAATATATACATGATGCTGAAAAAGAAAGATAATAAAAAGTGGCCTTGCATCCATAATACAGTACCTGCTTTTTAAGTGTCTTAGTGCACTTGGCACAGTACCAAACAAGACGTGGATCATTGACTTCTTGGTCGGTGACAAGTGGCTTGTGACACTCTTGATGGTATAATGAGTGACATTCTTGACACTCCACCAGCCGATTACGTGGAGATACCTCAAAGCTCCTATGTAATGAAACATTAAATGATGTTACACAAAATAATTTAAACTGCATTATCCTATATAATGCGGTGTATATAAAAATATTTAAAATGTGTTCAAGGGTCAAGATTCAGACATGCCCATTAATTAAGTCACAACTAGTTTTGCTAACATTTCACTTAGCCACACACTCTCCCCATTTAAAGATGTCTGTGCCCCTTTTTGGACAAACGAGCATACTCACTACTCGGTATTTCAATCAATGATAAATCACAGAATAATCAAATACTGTATTTGCCACAATGAGTATTACACAGAAAAAAATAAGACCTAAGACTTGCATGTGGTGATTTTCAAGGATTCCATAAGATGCTTAGACCTAAACAGATCATAGCTCTCATGAAGCATACTGGATCTGAAGAAGCCAACAAGAAAAATGTAGATGAGTTGCAGTATCAGGGAGAGGTCCTCACCAATAAGGAGTTGATGAAGCTTGAAGAGTAAGCTAGTTTAGCAGAGGATAAGAACGATGATCAAACTGAAAGCTCTATACTGGCTCTGGGGACCATATCAAGCTTTTAAAATAATTTAGGATGCTGTATGTAGAAACAAGTACTGTGTAAAGCTAAACAGCATTCACTAAACACAAATTTTTGAAGTACAGTGGACCCCCGCATAACGATGGCATCACATAGCGATTAATCCGCATACCGCTTGCTTTAATCGCAAAAATTTTGCCGCGCATACCGATTAAAAACCCGCTCACCGATTTTCGTCCGAGACGCGTCCAATGTGCGCCCTCAGCTAGCCTCACATGTGCCGCCCGTGCCATTGTTTACCAGCCAGCCTCCGCGGTAACATCCAAGCATACAATCGGAATATTTCGTATTATTACAGTGTTTTCGGTGCTGTTTCTGGAAAATAAGTGACCATGGGCCCCAAGAAAGCTTCTAGTGCCAACCGTACACCAATAAGGGTGAGAATTCCAATAGAAATGAAGAAAGAGATCATTGATAAGTATGAAAGTGGAGTGCGTATCGCCGACCTAGTCAAGTTGTACAAGAAACCCCAATCAACCATCGCTACTATTGTGGGCACCAGAAAGACAATCAAGGAAGCTGTTCTTGCCAAGGTTTAAACTGTGTTTTCGAAACAAAGATCGCAAGTGATGGAAGATGTTGAGAGACTCTTTTTTGGTGGTAATAAAAAAACAGCTAGCGGGAGTTAGCGTCTCTCAAGCGATCATATGTGAAAAGGCTAGGAAGTTTTCACGAGGATTTAATTAAAAAAATGCCCCGCAACTAGTGATGATGTGAGTGAATTTAAGGCCAGCAAGGTTGGTTTGAGAGATTTAAAAAGCGTAAGTGGCATCCATAGTGTGATAAGGCATGGTGAGGCTGCCAGTTCGGACCACAAAGCGGCTGAAAAATATGGCAGGAATTCAAGGAGTACATAGACAGTGAAGGACTGAAACCTGAACAAGTGTTTTAATTGTGGGTGAAAAAGGCCTGTTCTGGAAGAAAAATGCCAAGCAGGACCTACATTACTCAGGAGGAAAGGCACTCCCAGGACATAAGCCTATGAAAGACAGGCTTACTTTTTGATGTGTGCCAATGCTAGTGGTTGATTGCAAGTTAAGCCTTTATTAGTGTATCACTCTGAAACTCCCAGAGCGTTCGGGCAAAAGAATGTCCTCAAGGATAATTTGTGTGTGCTGTGGAGGGCAAACAGTAAGGCATGGGTCACTAGGACTTTTTTTATAACTGGTTACACCATGCATTTGCCCCCAATGTGAAAGATTACCTAACTGAAAAGAAATTAGAACTTAAGTGCCTCCTGGTGGTTAGACAATGCCCCTGTCACCCTACAAACGTGGCAGAGCGACTTTATGGGGACATGAGCTTCATTAAGGTGAAGTTTTTGCCTCCTAATACCACTCCTCTCCTGCAGCCCATGGACCCAGCAGTTATTGCAAACTTCAAAAAACGTACACAAAAGCTCTGTTTGGAAAGGTGCTTTTTAGTGACCCCAGAAACTCAACTGACTCTAAGAGAGTTTTGGAGAGAGCACTTTAATATCCTCAATTGTGTAAACCTTATAGGTAAGGCTTGGGGGGGAGTGACTAAGAAGACCTTGAACTCTGCTTGGAAGAAACTGTGGCCAGAATGTGTAGACAAAAGGGATTTTGAAGGGTTTTGAGGCTAACCCTGAGAGGATTATGCCACTTGAGGAATCCATTGTGGCATTGGGAAAGTCCTTGGGGGTTGGAGGTTAGTGGGGATGATGTGGAAGAGTTGGTGGAGGAGGACAAAAGAAGAACTAACCACTGATGATGATAGATCAACTTCAAGAGCAAGAGCCAGACCTGAGGAAACTGGTTCAGAGGAGGGAGAGAGAAATTGAAGAAGTTGCCTACTACAAAGATTAAAGAAATCTGTGCAAAGTGGCTTGAAGTGCAAACCTTCATGGATGAAAATCACCCTCACACAGCTATTGCAAGCCGTGTGGCAACCTGTACACTGACAATGTTGTGAAACACTTTAGGGAAGTCATAAAGGAACGAGAGGTACAGGCCACTATGGACAGATATGTTGTGCGAAAGAAGTCCAGTGACTCTGAAGCTGGTCCTAGTGCTTAAAAGAAGAAGGGAAGTAACCCCAGAAAAGGACTTGACACCTCAAGTCTTAATGGAAGGGGATTCCCCTTCTAAAACACTAACACACTCTCTCCCCTCCTCCCATCCCATCAATCATCACCAGATCTTCAATAAAAGTAAGTGTCATGTAAGTGTGCATGCCTTTTTCAGTTTGTGTGTATTAAAATTAACATTTCATGTGGTAAAAATTTTTTTTTTTCATACTTTTGGGTGTCTTGCACGGATTAATTTTATTTCCATTATTTCTTATGGGGAAAATTCATTCACATACCGATTATTTCGCATAACAATTACCCCTCTTGCACGGATTAAAATCGTTATGCGGGGGTCCACTGTACAACTATTTAACAGACTAATAAGAGGTGGTTGAAGGTGGCCAGTAATGGAGATTTTGGTGGATAAAGACAAGATCACTTTGCCATTATATTAACAATAAGGGACAATTTTATAACCAGTGGATTAAGTATTTTTCAGATTCAAATGACCCAGTGGATTTTGCTTCATATCTCTTTTTTTATTATTTTATTAATACATTGGCCGTCTCCCACCAAGGCAGGGTGGCCCAAAAAAGGAAAACTTTCACCATCATTCACTCCATCACTGTCTTGCCAGAGGTGCACTTACACTGGTTATACAACTGCAACATCAACACCCCTTCTTTAGAGCACAGGCACTGTATTTCCCATATCCAGGACTCAAGTCTGGCCTGCCGGTTTCCCTGAATCCATTCATAAATGTTACCTTGCTCACACTCCAACAGCACATCAAGTCCTAAAAACCATTTGTCTCCATTTGCTCCTAGCTAACACACTCACACATACTTGCTGGAAGTCCAAGCCCCCTCACATACAAAACCTCCTTTACCCCCTCCCTCCAACCTTTCCTAGGCTGACCCCTACCCCACCTTCCCTCCACTACAGATTTATACATTCTTGAAGTCATTCTATTTTGTTCCATCCTCTTTAAATGTTTGAACCCCTCCTCAGCCCTCTAGATAATAGTTTTGGTAATCCCACACCTCATCCTAATTTCCAAACTACGAATTCTCTGCATTATATTCACACAACACATTACCCTCAGACATGACATCTCCGCTGCCTCTAGCCTTCTCCTTGTTGCAACATTCACCACCCATGCTTCACCCATTTAAGAGCACTGGTATAACTGTACTCTCATACATTCCCTCTTTGTTTCCATGGACAAAGTTCTTTGTCTCCACAGACTCCTAAGTCCACCATTCACCCTTTTCCCCTCATCAATTCTATGATTCACCTCATCTTTCATAAACCCATCTGCTGACACACATGTCTAAATATCTGAATACATTCACCTCCTTCATACTCTCTCCCTCCAATCTGATATCCAATCTTTCATTACCCAATTTTTTTGTTATCCTCATCACCTTACTCTTTCCTATATTCATTTTAATTTTCTTCTTTTACATACCCTACTAAACTCATCCACCAACCTCTGCAACTTCTCTTCAGAATCTCCTTAGAGCACAGTGTCATCAGCAAAGACCAACTGTGACAACTTCCACTTTGTGTTAGATTCTTTATCTTTTAACCCCGCACCTCTTGCCAATACAGTACTTGAGCAATCACTTCTCTTACAACCTCATCTGTAAATATATTGAACAACCATGGTGACATGACACATCCTTGTCTAAGGCCTACTTTTACTGGGAAATAATCTCCCTCTCTCCTACATACTCTAACATGAGCCTCGTTACTTTCGTAAAAACTCTTCACTGCTTTCAGTAACCTACCCCCTATTCCATACATTTGCAACATCTGCCACAGTGCCCCCCTATCCACCCTGTCATACACCTTTTCCAAATCCATAAATGCCACAAAAACCTTTACCCTTATCTAAATGCTCTTCACCTACATGTCTCACTGTAAATACTTGGTCTACACACCCCGTACCTTTCCTAAAGGCTCCTTGTTCATCTGCTATCCTACTCTCCATCTTACTCTTAATTCTTTCAATAATAACTCTACCATACACTTTACCAGGTTAAACAGAGGGTTTACTGCCTAACTACCCCGAAGAAAATATGTAATTACAGTGGACCCCCGCATAACGATATTAATCCGTTCATGAGAGCTCATTGTTATGCGAAATTATCGTTATGCGAATGAATTTTCCCCATAAGAAATAATGGAAATCAAATTAATCCGTGCAAGACACCCAAAAGTATGAAAAAAAAAATTTTACCACATGAAATATACATTTTCCTACACACAAAGAGAAGGATACATGCACAATAGTAGAGTAGTACATGCACAGTATATATTGTGCATGTACTACTCTACTAAATGAAGAATAAATGACCCTTACCTTTATTGAAGATGCAGCAATGAC